AATGACTATATTTGATTTGCACACATAGAGCCAAAAACAACACACATATTATGTATATTTAGTCACAAAAACACTGAATGTTTGAAATCAGTCAATGAAGAAAAAATCTTGCATGTATAACTGAAAAAAAATAGTATTTTTTGGAGGGTCAAATCAGTTTTAATAATCGCACAAATGAAAATTATTGCCATACCTGGGAGCATGTGAAAATATAATCTGGATACTTTTCAATTAATCGTAGAGTTGAAGACCAAGATCTAGCACATTTCCTTTTAGTTTCACCATATGTCCATAACCATGCTGGAAAGTAAAAAAGTAAAAGCCAGCCCAATTATTACAATGATTCATTATTACATGTAGTCTTATTGTCTAGATAATATGTGTCAGCCATTACATCACTTCCACAAACACCATGTCAATAGAAGCTACTGAAATGTCAGTGGAGGAAACCCAATAAGACACTTTAGGAAAACGTTCTTTTTAGTTTATATAATGGTGGTTTATTTTATTTCTATTTTACTTTATTTTACATATTTTCACTCAAGGAGAAGGTCAGGTAAAACAATGTATTCAAAAATGTTTGTTAATTTATATTTTAGCAATGTATCAATGATATACAAAAAACACTTTTATATTTTTCTCACAAGATGTGCAATGTTTTATTTAAAGTATTATTGTCGGCAAAACTTGGTTGAAAGTCCTTTCAATTTGGAATAACCTGATCAAAAATGAAATCTGAAAGTTACCATGTTTGAGAGTTATACTGATTGAAACCTGATGCATTGCGTTATTTATTGACTAAGATATTTATTCTCTTCACTTCAATAAATTCCACTTTGGGAGTGCACTGCAGAAATGATTCCAGACACCTTTAGAAATGGTTGACAAATCACAAAATAACACACACTATGGTGTTATCTATAAGTACAGTACAAACTTTCAACTGAATTAGGCAATATGTATTAGTGAGGAATTGGCACAGAAATTAATAAAAACAAAGAGGCTGCCAATTGGCCATTTTTGTTTGAATAATTAAAAAATATGACATGCACTTGTAACCCAATATGCATGATTCTCTTACAAAATTTGAGTGAAATCACCCTGTTTATTTGTGAGAAACAGTTCCAGACATGGTTAAGTATCAGAATTTAGCAAATTTGAGAACTAAAATGGTCACCACCACGCATTATTTGATTTAATGGTAATGAAAATTGATGCACAAAAGTCATACATAGTACTTGTTTAAATGGGATAGGTCAAATTATATTCGAGAAATGTCTTTGGACCCACAGGCAGAACCCGAATTAATAGTCCCTAAATTTGGTCTTTGTCTGAAATGTGGACTTACCAGAATCAATATGACAATGCCCCATTGCATGTACTGTATGTTGACTGTCACCATTTTGTTGAGACAAGAATTTCTTGGCACAATCCTTTGCTTTCTTATATGAATCTCTGTCATATATATTGCACATGTTCACCATTGTATTTGCCGTGTACAGAGCTTGGTATCCTCTTTGACTATCATCTGGTAAATTCTGTGACAAGCAAATGGCAAAAAATTTTATGTTAAGAAATTGAGATCAAAATAGAGATGTGCAAATCTAATCTATTATGTTTTGTCATTATACCTACTTCGAACTTAATTAATTAATTAATTTAATTGATTAAAAGATTAAAAATATATAAAAATAAAACCAACATAACTCTGAGTTGGCTAATTTGAATCAAATCACAAAACAATAGCAAAGTTTGAATAAAATATGTCCTCAGTGGCATGCTTGAGAAATGGTTGATGACATGTTCAAATTTTGTCAATATAATGGCCGTCAGTTGGTAAAATTTTACTCAAATTACAAAATATGAGAGTATCATGAAACCCATTATGTCTTGCCTTTGTATTAAATTTAAACATTTAAACCTTGTCCATTGAGAACCTAAATTAAAAAATAACAAATGTATGGATTGATAACAAACTTAAACGATGCAATATTGTTTTTCTGCATAGAAAAAGTGAGTATAAAAATCTTGAAACACACACCCACTCACTCACTCACAGACTGACTCGCACAAAGGCCCTGCAGACTAATTCACTATTATTTGTAGATTAATAAACGGCACCTAGTTTACTATCATAACTGTTGAATTATACCTAAGCATGAGGTTGAATATTTAAGCAACACTGCATTGCACCTAGACTACTGGCTATGCATATGTAAACAGCTGTTAAATAGTTGGACAACTAAAACATTATTTGCATGCTATTATCTTATATGTGTCATGCCAGAAGACATATCACAATGTGTTTTTGCCACCACAAAAGTAATTTGGGCTTATCATTACATGGATGTACGTCTAGTAATGTGAACACAATGGTGAAAAATGCTACTAGTGTTCCTTTAAATGTATTTGATAGTTAAGCAACTACTACTGTTACAGTAATTATTTTCAATGTGAATTAGCGGTACAATAAATAATGAAATCAATACCTTTACTATACCAATAAGAACTTCAAAATCCATTATTAGATTATAGACATCTCTGTCAAAAATAACAATTTCTGCCTTTGATAACGTAAATAGTTTATTCTTATCTGGTGGATTTATCAAACCATTACCAGTGCCAAACATCTCATTACAAGCCATCTCAATGTATAGTATAAGCCTAAATGATAGAACAAGGCTGGTTAGAATAGAAATGTGACAGGTTGAATTCCATCAGTGTAGAAAACTGATCAATCTGACAGGTTGAATTCCATCGGTGTGGAAAATTGATCAATGTGACAGGTTGAAGTCTAGTAGTGTAGAAAACTAATCAATGTGACAGGTTGAACTCTGCCAGTGTGGAAAACTGATCAATGGGACAGGTTGAACTCTGCCAGTGTGGAGAACTGATCAATGTGACAGGTTGAACTCTGCCAGTGTAGAAAACTGATCAATGTGACAAGTTGAACTCTGCC